GGCTAATAAGGTAAATTAAGTTTGTTTCATTATTACCAATAGTATCGACTCGTTTAGGGGTCCTTGGCTAGCAGAAAGCAAACTCTAGGACCATTTAAGGTGTTGTGCTTCGACCGAATCTGTATATCACTTCCGACGATAAAAGTTCACTACGTCTGCTAAGAAATTTCTGAGGACTTAATTCAACATGCCGTCCGGCAAGGCTATTTTACAGTGTACACTGCCCGTCAAAAGAAACGAGAAGCTACAATATTTGACGTAGAATTGAAGTCTCCGAACAGGAGTTCCTGCCTTGGACATTTAGCTGGTGACTCAGTGGCGGTAAAATAAGCTGGGAAACTAATCCAAACTTCTAAACAATCTGTTCAAAGTCAAGGGTGAAGTATGCGAGGGTGCTCAGATTCTACCTTTTAAGTACTAACGTGGTAAGCGAGCAAAAGGTGGGTCATTTACTTTCAAATAATGATATTGATAATTACCTGTGCCAGGTGGCCCATACAGTAGAACACCTTTAGGTGGTTGAATGCCAATAGCTTCAAATCGTTCTTTGTGAGTCATAGGAAGCACGACGGCCTCAATGAGCTCTTGGATCTGCTTGTCAAGACCACCGATGTCGCCGTACCTTTCTGTTGGACGGTCGTCAACTTCCATAGCCTTAACTCGGGAGTCAAATTCTGGCGGGAGCTTTTCAAGAATGAGGTAGGAATCCTTATTTACACCCACGAGGTCACCCGGCTTAAGCTCCTCGGCAGGAACGAGCCCGATGACGGGTAGAAAGTACGTTTGACGAGTGCTGGTCTTTACAACAGCACACTTGCCCTTCCTCTGTGAATCTAAATCTATGTTTGCTCCGTCTTCTTCTTCGTCATCTGGTTCGACGTCAAGAAGCTGAATCATTAAACAAAAGAAATGGGACCAACCTCGACTACCGTCGCCACCAGGTACGGTAAGGCTTTATTCATTTTAATCTTGCTTTTGCTATCCTTAACTTTAGATTGTTTCATTTTGATTTCATGGTCCACTCGATGTAATTCTGATTTCATTATCTAAAACTTCATAAACGAGGACAAAAAGTC